TTTTTTTTATTGAAGATATAACATTCACAGGGGATACAGTCATAGCAATAAATTACATACACAACCAGAATACAAAACAATAAATATATAAAGAATAATAAAAATTTTATATAAACAGAACAAAAACAAATAAATAAAAAGTTAATAATCTTTTCTTTTTTTTCAAATAAATAAATCATAAATCAATTAAAATAAAAAATAACTTAAATGGAAAATTACACATAAAATGTCAACTTCAAAGAATACACAGGAGGTAACCCTTACATCAAAGTCAATATTTTTCCATCAATACAGTAGTTTTAACAGCTTTCTTATTAAGTGATGAGCAGAGAGATTCAGAAAATCATTTCAAATCAATACAAAAAATCCTAAAATTGGGCATACAATTTGTGCAGTGGCTATTGGTCAGTGGAGTTGTCGGTGAACTGAAAGATGAGTTTTTTTTTGTTTATTTTAACACCCTGATTGCATGATTCCTTTGTCTTTTAGATATTATTAGCCTAAATAATCTGACGAATTACACGAGTAACTGTGAAACGTTATATAAGATGGCTAACTTAATTAAATATTCTCAACTAAATATAATTTCAAGGTTAATGAAATCCGCAATGCTTCATTAATTGTTAAAACCAGGTCAAAATAAATTGCAGATTGACAGTAAGAATAATATTTAAAATGATTATTTAATCAGGGCCTTTTAGTAGGATAATGAAAGAAAGGACAGTGGAATACAAATACAACGTGCAAACTTGTGACGTCATGGCTGTCGCCGGCCAACGAGTTGGTGTTTTTTCAATGTATGCTTCAGACACGGGTCACGACGAGGCGTTCCCCATAGCGACCCCTAGAGGACGCAGTGTCTCGTTCCCTACTCAGGGAACCATGGTTACATAAGTAACCTGAGACGTTTTGTATTCTGGTTGTGTATGTAATTTATTGCTATGACTGTATCCCCTGTGAATGTTATAATCTTCAATAAATAAAAAACATTTTAAAAAAGGAATCACTAGCAGAAACTCAAAAAAAAAAAAAGAAGGCCACTGCACAAAACAAATCCCAGCCGGGTCCGTCACTTTTTTGGGTCCCCTTGAAACATTTCCATTGTGGTCCGTGCTATTTGCAGCGCGTTTCTTCATTTGCATGTGTTGTGAGGATTTGCCGCACGTTTCTTCATTTGCATGTGCTGTGAGGATTTGCAGCGCGTGTGTTGTGAAACTGATGAAGATTTCTTAATTTCCTGGTGTTTTTTCAATTTGCTGGTGTTTTCTTAAGTTGCAGCGCGTTGAGCTCTCTCAGCCACCGTAGTCATGTGACACTGTCAACTGGAGTAATGGCTTTGCTATTTCAGGAATAAAATGTATTGTAAAATATATTAAAATAGAAAACAGTTATTTAAAATTGTAATAATATTTCACAGTATTACTGTGTTTACAGTATTTTGGATATAGTAAATGCAGCTTTGTGAGCATTATTTAATTCTTTCAAAAACATTAAAACAAAATCTAAGTTTTCCGAGAATGTTTGCCCCATTTATAGGTGAACTATTCCCACTTCGTATCATGATTCTGAAGTTTGAATATACTGGTTTAAAATCTGAAATTGCATGTTTATGTCCTTTGTTTACGCCAGAACAGAAAAAAAGAGCAGTGGTGGGAAAGCAGGGTGAAAATAGAAAAGTGTGACTACCCTCAGTTGGGAAGTGTGACGCGAAACCCTGTCAAGGACGTCAGGCATGCAGGAGATAAAGAAATGAAGAGACGAAGAACTTCACAGCAGAGAAAGGTGCGAACTGGGTCTCTACGGAGATGGAAATGTGGGATTGAAAACCTGAATCTTAAAAACAATACTGTATGTTATATATCTTTATTATTACCTTCAAGTACATGTTCAAGTTTTCAAAGTTCATATATTTAGTTTCAGAGAATATAAATCTAGCAAAACATATACAGCAACAGTAATCAAATACTGTACAACACAACATTTGTCCTCACTAGTTTCCATCAACCGTATAAACGCTGCATTTTGTTCCACATACAAAAACAAAAAAATAAATCCATACACTTAAAACAGATGTGTTCATTGGTAACAACACAAATGGCTGTCCATGTTGGAGCACCTCCCAAGTACAATCTAAAATTCAAATACGTCTGGTACACATGAAACTGCTCAATAAACCTCTAAATTACATCATACATGTAGACTCAAATGCATTGTCTCTATTCAGACTCTAGTTGAAGCAATATGTTTTTTTTTGCTGTTGTTAGAGATACAATTGGTGTCTTAAAGGAATAGTTAATCCAAAAATGTCAAAACATTTTGTGTTGTCCTTTATGGTGATTGGCTTCCCCTGGTTACTGTATGCTATCATTATACGTAAAAGAGCAGCTTGAACATTCTTCAAAACCTCTCATTTTATGTTCCACAGAGTAAAAAAAGTCATACAGGTTTGGAACGATTCAATGGTGAGTAAACGATGACAAAGGTCCATTTGTGGGTGAACTATTCCTTTAAAATCTAAATTGATATAATGCCAAACATTGTGCCAATTGAATTTTTCATTTTCTCAACCAAATTAAGTTTTGTCCAGTGGAAAATGTCAAATTACACATAATCATGTCTATAAATAAAACACGCAATACATAAGGCCTGATGCGCACAATTATTTATCACTAAACAGGGTGAAACCTTTAAACAGGAAATTGAGTCGACATTATTGGTTGCTTTCACAAGAGCCATCAACTTGCTTTCGATAAAGCTACAACCACAACATAGAGATTTTCAGGTCGGTTGGGCACACCTTGATGTGTATTTGTCTTATTACAAAGTAGCACAACGGAATATTGGATATTATAATGTACTTGTCAAAACGGTTATCCTACACTGTTCCATGGACAAGACCAATGCAATGACGTTTGTACACTAGGCAATAAGGAAGACAAATTAAAATTATAATACAATTTAAAATGTAAACATTTAAATTACTTTTAAAAGTAAATTATACTAATTTTCAAAGAAATGAGTCTTAACAACACAATAATGACAACAACTGTCAAAACATAAGTCAAAATGATGAAATATTTTATAAGGCCACGCTACACTATCACAGGGAACTGCAGAAAGCTACATATGACATTTTGTGTCAATAATCTTTAATTCTACAAACATGAAGGTTCAAATGACAAAATAAACTACTGTACTTCAAAAACTAGACAGTGAAAGGCGGATCGCATATTGCAAACAAGCAATGTGATATGCTACACATTTTCAAAGCCTTGAAGATTTTAATGAGGAGGCCAGAGGGACATGAAAATAACGTTTATTCGCTTCAGTTTGTTTTTTTGTTAATATATAGGGAGTTGACATTTAGGGAGATATCACTTAAAGCAGTTGGTTTGGATTATTTGTAGACTACTAATGAAAAATTTAGACACACTTGAATGCCAAGAACGTGCAGAGCTGTACTACCGGCAGTGGGTGGCTATTTGGGGGGAAAAAATGGATTTGTTAAATATTTTTGATCTCTAAATAATTCTCACACTTCCATGAATGTTATTTCATATTTTGATGACTTCACTGTGAAAAATACTATTAAATGATGAGTAGATGTGTCCAAACTTTTGACGGGTAGCGTAGCTTATATTTTTCTTTGTGTGTATAAGTGTTATTTTCAAATATAAAATTTGAGTATGAGCATTGAGTTCACACTTAGACATGACATTAAGAAAAAAATTATATCCTTCTGCATATGTATTACTGAATTTACTGCTAATATCTCATTTCACATAAATAAGCAGAGGATATTCCTCTGACAGTGGAGGAACGAGCCAGTAGATCTGCATGCACCGTGACTCAAAAACATACTGACGATATTATAAAAGCTGACTTGGCACTGCATATTTTTTTTGTGTGTGCTCTACAACCCTGTTCTTGCCGTCGCGGTGAAGAGAGGCTCAACCTGACCGATACAGTGGGCGGACCTGACGTCAGGGTTGAATGAGGCTCAATCGATACCTTCTTATTCCTGTTTACCAACCCAGAGGTTTCACGCGAATTATTCGACATCTGACGCGTCATTGTCCGATAGGTGGTAGTTTGACCCTTTCACCCGGATGTATTCCACTTGCCGATCCTCATCAGAATCCGAGATCCCGCATGAGCAGAGCCGGTTTTCAAACAAGGACTCAATCTCTTCTAGCCGCTGTCCCTTAGTCTCAGGCAGGCAGCCATAAATGAAAAAGAAACCAGTTAGAGCCAAACTGGAATACAGGAAAAATACACCTGGAAAATGACAGAGATATTGGTTAATAAATGTGAATAATTTTAATAACAGCTAAAAATAACAATACTATACAAGACTCAAATATATTATTTTTTTTATCCCGCCTAGTCAGAATTGTAATAGATCATATATACTGTGTGTATATATATATATATATATACAGTATATATATAATTCTCTAATAACTAACATTAAAAAGATGCAAAAAGTTACTCTTTTCAGAAATGTGCACTGATGAATCATGAACCGCAAGTCCAGGAAAGTGTATTTAGAGTTGGAGTTGTTCACTTCCAGAGGAAATTAATACTGAGTCATAGACATAATTGGTTCATCAATGCCTATATGCGTAATATACTCTTGATGTTGAGAGATCAAATACCGTATTGATGATGACAAAAAGGTCATGGTCATGAATGCTGTCGCTCCACTAATTAGAGCATTACCATAGTAAGTCAGGTACTGGGCCATGTGGAGGAACGTTAGAGACACCAGGACATTGAAGGTCCAGTTCACCCCAGCCGAACAAGCATTGCCTGTGCTTCTGGCCCAAAGAGGGTAGATTTCAGAATTAACTGTCCATGGCATTGGTCCCATTCCTGTTGAGAGGTGAAAGTGTTTTAAATGACCTTAATGCAATGTCACAATATATTATATGTATAATTCCCTCAGAGCAACCTGTGGTTATATGACTTGCTGAATGACACAATGGTGAAGGATTGCGGGTGCCTTCTGGCACTGCTGTGTTATATGTTTTTGACTCAAAAAAATTGATTAAAAAAAGCCTGGCTCGTAATGTAATGCTGCAAAATAATAATAATAATAATAATAATAATGTGAATTACTCACAAACTAAAAAAAATAGAACTGATCATCATGAAAATCCTCCAGTTCAGATATTTTTTTCTCATTACCAAAATTAAAATACATGTGTGATGAGTGGGGCGGGGCCGAGAGCCGTGGGAGCGGAACGAGTCCCACGGAGGAGCTCCGGAAGAATAAAAGGAGGAGTGACGACAGTGTTGGAAGAGAGAGGACCAGGCCTAGACATTTTATGTTGTTGTTTTATTATATCTTTATGTGGCAGTCGTCCGTGAGGGGCTGCCGCTTTTACTTTAGTTTTATGTTTGTTTGTTTATTTATTAAAGTTTTATGTTTAAATGTTCGCCGTTTTCCGCCTCCTTCTTCCCGATCTATGAACATTGTAACAAAGTTCGTAGATCCGGGAAGGAGGAGGCGGGAACCGGCGAACATTTAAACATAAAACTTTAAAGGGGTCATATGATGCGATTTCAAGTTTTCCTTTCACTTTGGAGTGTTACAAGCTCTTGGTGCATAAAGTAGTTGCAAAGACTTAAATCTCAAATCCAAAGAGATATTCTTTATAAAAGTTAAGAGTCAACCATGCCTACCTAAAACGGCTAATTCTAACACGCCCCCACATGTCTACGTCACTATGTGGAAATATTAGCATAATGCCGCCCAAATGTGCACGCAAAGAAAGAAGACGACGACAGTTTTTTTACCCTAGAAGAGTACAAGGCTGGCTGTGCACAAAGGCTATTTCTAAAAAAATTGGGTCAATTCCAACTTTGCTATGACAATCTGGCTCTTCTGAATCAGCGACTGCAAGTATGTTGTGTTATTAGTTTAAGTATTTGCTATTGACTGTTCAAATGCAGAGTTTTGCGCAGAGTAACGCGTCGTGTGTGTGTGTGAGGGGAACAGGGTCACATCACAGGAGAGTGAACTGCCTGTCAGAAATCATAGCACGTAAGCTGTCTTAACCGCGGCTTGTGTACTGCATCATCACTGTGTCGGTCACGCGACTCTGTTGCCCTTTCGGGCTTGAACTGATGGTAAAACTGCCGACATTATTAACTAACGTCTTGATATTTACTTTGAAAGCTGAAACTAGCGATTATGGTAAGAGGTGTTACATTTCCGATGCGTGCTTGTGGTGTTCAGCCAATCACAATGCACTGGGTCAGCTGGCCAATCAGAGCAGACTGTGCTTGTCAAAGGAGGGGGCTTTGTTGAAAACGACGTGTTTGAGAGAGGCGGGGCATAGAAGACCTACAATAATGTACAGTATTTGAAAAATAATGTGTTTTTTTAACATTAAAGCATGTCAATGATGTTTAAAATAGCATCATATGACCCCTTTAATAAATAAATAAATAAACAAACACAAAACAAAAGTAAAAGCGGCAGCCCCTCACGGACGGCCTGGTCCTCTCTCGTCCAACACTATCGTCACTCCTCCTTTTACCCTTCCTGGGCTCCTCCATGGGACTCGAGACCGATGAGTGGCGCAGGTGTCCCTCATGATCATTAACTCCACCGGCCTCGCTCCTCTACCATGGCTCTTGGTCCCGCCCCACTCGTCACAACATGTATGCTGAATTAATTACAAACAGTTATGATCATCTTACCTGGGGCAAAAAATGCGAGATAGAGCACTAGCCCCAGGAGCACAACCCATGAATAAGATGTTGGGCAAAAATTATAAGCCCATATAACACTATCTGGCAGATGTGTGGAGTTGGAGCACCTGAAACAAACACACAATGAATTTAAGTTATAAGAATAAATATCAATATATTTCAATTTTTCAAAAATTTAAAATAAATAAATATAAAGCACCGCAGGTTCAACCAAATGTAATATCATACAGTAATGACACAATGAACAAACTAAAATGTGTTAGAAACAGAATGTGTTAAAAATATAAAATGTTATACAAAAACATAAGTCGCAAGAAGGGAAAAACCTTATTTTGAAGGACATGACAAAAAATTTTATTTCAGTTTTTACATCTGGCGAGTATTGGATAGCTTTGTTATGTACTGTAGAATGAATAAAAACACTTAAAGGGATAGTTCACCCAAAAATGAAAATTTGATGTTTATCTGCTTACCCCCAGGGCATCCAAGATGTAGGTGACTGTGTTTCTTCAGTAGAACACATTTGATGATTTTTAAGTCCAACCGTTGGAGTCCATCAGTCTTATAATGAATGGCAATGGTAACAAAGTCTATGAGTGTAAAAAAAACATGCACAGACAAATCCAAATGAAACCCTGCGGCTCGTGAAGACACATTGATGTCCTAACACACGAAACGATCGGTTTGTGCCAGAAACCGAACAGTATTTATATAATTTTTTACCTCTAATACACCACTATGTCCAACTGCTTTGAGCAGTGTACGCGCTCTGGCGTAGTTTACGTTAATGGGTGTGTTGTTACGGGAGGAGCAAACGACAGACACCGTTTATTAACAGAAAATAAACAAAGTGTCCAGAAAAAAGGGAATTAAGTGTCCAAAATAGACAGGGGATCTGGTGTCCTCGTCGTGCTGCGGGGTTCGTGAAGGGTAGGGCAGTGGTCAGGAAGGAAGGAAGGAAGGGTCCAGGTAAGGGGCGGAGTCCGGGGCGAGATGGGCGGCGACTTCTTTCAGCGGCTTCGTCCTTCTCTCTGCCCACGGCGCTGGAAGGGACTAGACCGCCCAGCATCCTTGCACGACGGCCGCGTAACGGGTGCCGTTCTCGTCCGGACTGCGGGTCCGGCAGCTCACGACTCTGGCGGCATGGGAGTCCCTCTACGCACCCCTCCTGGACCCACGAGGACACCAGCGTGCATGCAAGGGGAAGAGACCGGTCTCCCGAGGAGAGGCGCGATCGGCATTTAAACAGTGGCGGTGATGAGGCTCCATTCGGTTCAGGTGTGCCCCTTCACACGCCGCCAGCCCTGGCTATTTCAGTGCCCCTCTGCTCACAGGCACCCAATCCTGTCGGGAGCCTGGCGAAGGGCGGCGATTAAGGGACGGGGTGATGCTGATAATTAGGGGGAGGCAGCCGACTCGTCACAGTGTGTTGATATCCAGCTGAAGAGCGATCAACCATAACTTCAGGCGAGCAGGCTCAGAAGTCAGTTTGAACAATCCGGATAAGCACAAGTAAGTACCATTTTGATTAGCTGTTGTACTGACAATGACTGCGCACTGTGTAAACAATGAGTGACGTATACGCGCGAGAGATCACTTCCGGCGCTTGCGTAAACTCGTAAACTCGGAAGCAGTGTGCGTGCTCAAAGACAGTTGGACATAGTGGTGTATTAGAGGTAAAAAATGATATAAATACTGTTCGGTTTCTGGCACAAACAGATCGTTTCGTGTCTTAGGACATCAATGTGTCTTCACGAGCCGCAGGGTTTCATTTGGATTTGTCTGTGCATGTTTTTTTAACACTCATAGACTTTGTTACCATTGCCATCCATTATAAGACTGATGGACTCCAATGGTTGGACTTAAAAATCATCAAATGTGTTCTACTGAAGAAACAAAGTCACCTACATCTCGATGCCCTGGGGGTAAGCAGATAAACATACAATTTTAATTTTTGGGTGAACTATCCCTTTAATATGCCTAAATATACACAGAACAGCTCAAGTACTTGCGCATACAGAGTCTCTGCTTAACTGGTGACTCACTTGCCCCACGCTGCTCTCTCAGTGGAAGCCGGATTGACGGGCACACAGGAGGAGTCAAACACAGCAGTGCTGTTTTCCTGATAACAGTAACCACAGCTAGGGTCCAACATACAGGGCTCGCATGACCTGAAACACAAAGTAATGTAAGAGCAAGACAAATTACTTAAAAACTAAAACCCAACCAACTGATCTTGAATTCTTCTCATCTGAAGTCAACATAAATCAAAATGGACCCTATGTACTGTCTTAATATCACAGTATGCTTTAGTTTGGACTTCGTTTTCCATTTCCCTTTGAGTTGGTTGTCATGGTTATTCATTTGATTATGTATTTAGTTCAGGCCTGTGTTGGTTCAGTTGTCCGTGTGTCGTCTATGTGAAGGTTGTGTTTTGGACAGAGATGTTGTGTTTTGGAGAGAGGCCATACTTTGTATTTGGATTGTTGGAATTTACCGTGTGGGTTACTAAAGACTGTGCCTCTTCATTGTCTTCACCGTGTGTGTATATTTATACAACACAATCGTGACACTTAATACACATTTCTAGAATTTCTTACTATGCACGACTCATCAGTGCACACTATTCTAAAGAAAAATAGTTGATTGTATTCACAATATTTCAAATGTAATAACTTGCGGAACAACTCAGGAACAATTTTCATTTTCTTCAAACCACCTGTCAAATTTCCACAATTAAATCAACTCCTGATGGATAACATTACAGTAAGTCCGACCTTACATTTTTTCTTGTTGAAAATCATGTTTCACTCAGAAATACGTCAAGTAACATTACGGAAGTAAAATCTAAATCTATGTATATTTATTGTAGTTTCGAAAGACCAGGTGGCATTTGGTCAAAAATACATTTAAAATACTGTGAAATACATTGCTCAAAAATTACATATTGGATCTCGATGAACAAAATAGTCAAGTTGAAAATCTTTATTGTGTAATTCGTTGAGAACAGAATGGTCAGTGAAAGACAAAATCATCAACCCATTGAGGGCTGGATTCAAAATTTCACCAAAAAAAAAGCTACTTGGCGGCTTCAGATGCTCCGATAAATAATGTCTCTAAGATTCTCCATTGGATTTGGGTCTGGAGAACATGAGGTCAACGGCATCAGTGCCTTCATCATCCAGAAACTGCCTACACACCCTGGCCATATGAGGCCAGGCATTGTCATGTACCAGGAGGAACCCAGGGCTTACTGCACCAATATAAGGTCTGACAGTGGCTCTGAGGATTTCATCCCGGTAGCTAATGGCAGTAAGGGTACCATTGGCTAGCACGTGGAGATCTGTGCGACCCTCCGAAGATATTCCTCCCCAGAACACCATTGGCCAACTGGATGATGTTGCAGGTAGCATATTGTTTCCCACAGCATCTCCAGACACTTTCACGTCTGTCACATGCGCTCAGTGTGAACCTGCTGTTATTCATAAAGACAATGGGGCGGACCTGCCAATTCTGGTGTTCTCTGGTAAATGCCAAACAAGCTGCACGGTGTTGGGGCTGTGAGCACAGGTCACACTAGAGGACCTCATGCCACCCTCATGGAGTCTGTTTCTGACAGTTTGTTCAGAAACAAGCACAACAGTAACCTGCTGGAGGTCATTCTGTTAAGCTCTGGCAGTGCTCCTCCTGTTCCTCCTGCACAAAGAAGCAGATACTGGTCCTACTGCTGGGTTGTTGCCCTTTTACGACCCGGTCCAGCTTTCCTTGTGTAACGGCCTGTCTCTCTGTATCTCCTGCATGCTCTTGAAACTGTACAGGTAGACACACCAAACTTCCTAGTGACGGCACATATGGATGTGCCATCCTGGAGGAGTTGGACTATACTAACTCAGAGCCAAATCAGTCAGGAAGGATAAGAAGAGAGCATTTGTCTGTGGCCACCATCTGCAAAACTATTACCATTTTGGGGGTTGTCATCTTGGTGCCTGTCTAGTGCACCTGTTGTCGCTTTCATTTGCACCAAAGCAGGTGAAACTGATTTACAATCACTTATGCTTCTTAACTGGACAGATTGATATCATTGAAGTTTAACTGACATGGTGTTATGCTGTGATAATTAAGTGTTTCCTTAATTTTTGGAGCAGTTAATTATTACAATTTTAAAATGACAGATTTCTATTTCATTTCATTTTAAAATATAATTTATTCCAATGATGGCAACATCTTCATTGTCACATAGTCCTTCAGAAATCATTCTAATACGATCATACACAACTGCCATTTTATGTTAACTTTAAATTTCATGAATGACTTGCTTAGAGATATGCATGATTATGAGATCACGACTATGATCCCATTAATATACATGTATTCAATATTCATCAAGTCTTGTCAATGGGTCTTGCGTGGCAGTTACAGTGTGTCCATTAAACACTGTATTCCATTATGTATGAGGAGAGGGCTTTTGAGAGACAGTCTGTGCACAAATTGGTTTGCTGCTGTGATGACAGTGCAGCCATTCCACATCCATTAGCAGGAAAATAAACATGCTTTGCTTTGGCGGTGTGTATGGTGAACTGGATGATGGTGTAAGAGTAAATTAGGATGGAGAGAGAGGCCATACTCTGTCAGTCTGGGGGGGGGGGGGGGGGG